ACCTGAGAGAAATCGAACACTTCTTCCGATAGCAGCCCGTTCAGGGCCATATTATTCTCACAAACAGACAGATTGGCAGGTGATGCCTCGGTGATCTCTTTGATGAAATTCGGCCAGTTATCCGGCCAATCCTGTTTTAATATGGATACCAGCACGAGATTGAGCTTGTTAAGGAATGCCCTTTCGTTCTTTAGTTTCTCCTCCGTATTGGAATGCTCGATGATGCATTCGCAGATAAAATTGCGGATACCTGGTAATGCAGGTTAAAATTTAGCCACGGCAAATAAAGACCAAGGAAAAAGATAGACAAGATGGGAATATCTAGCTACCTTGACGTTGCACAAGCGGAAGGATATTCCATCTTGTCGTGATAAGATCATCCAATACCTGTAAACCGAGATCTATGGCAACAAATTAGCCCACAACAATGTCCCCCAGACGCGTAGAATAATTCAAGAGCTGAATGAGGTCATTTTTTACATTTCGTGTAGACATATCCGGATTGTTGAAGGATGTCTGCGACGACGAGCCACGCATCGGGATTTTGCTTGAACTGTAGTTCCCCCAAAATTTTGTCAGATAAAAAAGCTGTTTCACCAAAAATCAAATCGAACCGGGGAGGGTCAGGAAGAAGTGGCGGGCAGGGATGGGATAGTCACCTCAGTCAAGGCATATTCGGCTTGTTTTTGCTGTATAAGAGAGAAAAGTAATTAGCAAAATGCCACACGCTTAAATAAGCTGCTCCTCCTCTGGGACTCGTTCGTTGCTTCCCCTTATCTCTTTTGTGGGAGTTGTCCATTGTATCTATCGATATAGATCTGGAGATAGGACCAAAATTTGAAACAAAAGGGACGAAGAAGATAGAAAATAAAAATATAAAGAAGAACACATACAACATCACCTTTCCCTTCATAGAAGGCCCGAACCGTATTATCTAGCTCTGTGATTGAAAACGACATGCCGCGCCCCCCCCAAGATTAAAAAACAACAACAAACACACACAAAAAAAAAGGACGGCAGAAGCAGGGGGCGTGCCCACTCAACAGAAGCCGTCTAGAATCTTGGGAGGTGAGGGATTCTGTCCGTTATATTTGGTAATTCGGTGTCTTTTTCTATTCCTTTCTGGTGGCCAAGGGCGAAGATTGTGCAGATGCTTTTCTTTGCTTTCTTTCCCCCCTTGTATTGAAGAAGAAAAGGGAAAGAAAGAAAAGATAAGACTCCGATTTTTCTTTTTTAAAGGTCGCAAAGAGAAAGGTGCTGGAACGGGAACTGGAGCTATGGTTTTGTCGAGGGGAGAATCGCCAGGGTGGTGGGTGTGGGGGGGGAAGAGGAAGTTTGCCGATTTTCGCAATTGGGTATCTATTTGTCGGGAGGCGCTCAGCTCTGAGTCCCGTGTGCCTGGGGGACCCCTTTGAAACAGAACGGTGAGGCTTGTCAGCGTTGGTGTTGTGTTGTATGTAGCATCTGGAAACCGTTGTCAAAGCGGTGTCTGCCGAAACTAAGGTAGGTGAACATACCGAATGTGGAACGCGAAACACGGGCAGGTGGGTCAGATACAACGGGCCTAGGATATCAAAGCGGATTGGAAGGGGCGGGAAAGCAGAGAGTTGACAGTGAGAAAAGAGAGTAGCAAAGAGTACTAAGCAACGCGCGATGAGAATGGGAGAGAAGGAGAAAGGAAGAGACGAGAAATGAGGCTTGTGCTTACTCTTTGGGACAGCGAACAGGCGGAGTTGATGGGAATGCAAACAAGGCTTTGGGCTGCTGGCTGAGGGGTGCAGCTTAATCAGCCGTTGATCGATCCTGTTGCCCCTCTTCTTCTGCTGTTGGGAGACGAATATACATGACAAGCGGGGATTAAATTCGGATAGCTCATCTTGATTCTGCTCTGTCTCGGAATAAAAAAATGGTGATTGATTATCCCTCTACCATAGAGTAGACCAAGCAGATATATATACGCCGCTGGAATCCCGTCATAAGCCACACCCACCTTCACTTGTGTACCTTGGTAAAGAGCAGAAACTGACGCAAAAGCAGAAAACAGAAAGGATATAGAGAGTATAACCGGTCAGCTTCTGTTAGATCGCTAGATCAAAACCCACGTAGCAGACTTCCACACTTGATTATTATAATTTATAAACGAAAGAAAACCCCATTTGAGAACCGAGGCCGTTAACGTTCATCCTCATCCATCAGCTCTGGCACAAATCATACTCAGGTATATACAATTCGTTTCTCTCAACGAATCCAAAACGTTAACCATGAAACATGAAGAGTAATCGCACATCATATCATCAGTCAATCAAACAGGCAAAAAGAAAAAGAGAGAGGCAGATAAAACGCATGTAGGCGGTACGGATAAAGGGGCTCCTCCCCTCACCGGGAGAAGAGACGATTGGCCTGCTATCAACCGACGGCAATTTCATTTCGGCAACGGTAAAAAGCCAAAAGGTAAGAGGACGGTTTTTTTCTTTCTTTTCTTCGTTTTTTAAAGCATGAGATGGGTGGTGAAGTGTTCGAACACTGAATAGAAACGCATCGAACGTGGTGTTGTGTATAAGCAGGAAAAGGGACGAGTGTAAAACGGGGAGATGAAGTGGCAACGCAACAATCGAGAACAAACGTCTTTTAAAAAGAAAGAAAAAAACTCCAAAAAAAACTCCGAAAGGAAAACAATTTAAAAAAAAAAAAAAACAATAAATAGCAGTGAAAATACCATGTAAAAAGAGAGAGCATAGAGAGCGAGAAACGTAAAAGAACGAGATAACCAACGGCTTGAAAAGGGGGGTCAAACACAATAAGCTAATATTAACCCCTTACAAATCGAGTATTGGAGCCAGCCAGCCAGAATTCGATTGCTGGAGGGGAAAAAGGGGGTGCAGACTTTGACAATTTCAAACGACGGCAATGTCGTGTCTCCGGTTGTTGAACGAGGGAAGCCACTAAGTATCATACATACATACGTGTATAATAATATTTAAGGGAAATTAGGCTTCAACCCTTGGAAACCGTACGGCAGTATTTGTTGCTTGACAACTTCTCCCGGGGCAATATACGCACCCCTCCCGAGACTCACACCGGGTAAAATCGTAGCCCCAGCGCCAATCCAACAGTCCTCAGCAATAACGACAGGGCGGCCCTGGTACTTGCTGCGAGAGCCCTTGCGATCCAGCATGCTTCCCATCGCCATGGATCCTAGGATCGTGACGTTGGGGCCGATCCATGTGTGCGCACCGATGTTGATCGGACAATCATCCGCGAGCAGACAGTTTTCAGATATCAGTACGTCTTCCCCGATGTTGATATTGTAGCCGAAGTGGCAGTTGAAAGGCGTTTCGACAATGGCACAAGGCCCCAAGGATCCTACGGGGGTATTGGGGCTCGGCTCGGCTTGCGGGTCTAATGGAGGCATTAGGACTTGTTGTAGGAGTCGCCGGCGCTCATCCGGGCTAATTCCTAGATTCGGATTGCTCGCGTTATTGTATCGCCATAACGCAGCCTTGCACCGTTCTCGCTCTCGGTTGAGCTGTGGGTCAAAATAATTCTGGTACGGTTCCCCGGCAAGCATTTTCTCCTTCTCGGTCTTGGTTGCCTCGAACGCCACGTGGGACTCCATGTTAAGAGCTAACCGAGCTTGTGCCGGGTAGTTGGTAGCGTCAACGTGGGGTTGTTGTTGTTGGTGTTTCGGACGCTGGTCGATATTGCCTTGAAAGACGGGCATTCCACGCTTCTGATGTGGAGCGCCATGGGACATTTCCCGCAGTGCGGAATGATAATCGGATTTTGGTTGCTCTGCACGAGAAATCTTATTAATACCAGGACCATCTCGAGATTGTCTTTGGGCAGGATGTTCCGGCGTGAAAGACGAGGGACCAGACGGCCAGGTAACATTTGACCACGAACCTCTAGATCCCACGCCAGCCACACTTGTGATGTGTTGCGAGGGAACATGAACATGCTCGATTTCGTCTACGGGGATAGGTCTAGACTTGCCATTGTTTGTAGGTATTGCAGCAGGAGCCCTATCGTGTCTCTGGGGGCTCATGTCAGGAATGTAATGAGGTACCTCGGGATAGCCATCTTTGGCTTGGAGTGGAACCGGGGCTTTGGAAGTAGAGGGCTTCTGCCAAGTGCTTCGGGACGAATAACCTTCGCACAAAAAGCCACCGCGCAAACAGTTATTACCTGTTTAACAAAACCAACTGTTAGAGCATCTGTTGATTTGGGAAAGCACGAGAAGCAATAATGTACGACGGCTTGCGTAAACAGTTTAGGGCAGGGGCCGATAATGGAACATGGTTCAAGACTTACAAGCAGGATGCTGTTCATCGCATTTTTTCTTTCTTCTCCTGCAGGTCATGCAGCCCGTCTTTGTGCGGTTGCTGAAAACCCGTTTCCTCTTCGGACCAACTTGTACAGGGCCAATGGGCCGTTCTTGGGGTGGTGTGTCTGAAAGGGTGAATTTGCGGGATTCGTTAGCAGATTCACCCTCGGGCACTATCGACCAAATCTTTGCGGCATGTTCAGGGCCTTGGACATCACGCTGAAGAGCTTCCGCGAGCTGCGCATCCGAAGAATCAATAGGCTGGTGACCGAGTTGTGCATGATTCGCCAGTTGCGTATCGTAGTTATCCCAGGGAGAGGTGTTGCCGGTCGATTGAACGCTGACACTCCGCTCCGGGACTGCGGAATATGCTTGCCTAGCTTTCCTAGCCGCTGCATCCGCTTCCGATGTCGATTGCATAAGACTCGCGCCATTCGGGCCAGCGCCTTGAATTTGAGGATTGGGTTGGGGAACAGGACTTGTAGAAGCGCTGTGGTTTTCCTGGTACGAGGATGGAGAAGTTTGACCCGATTCTGAACGCTTTCGCTTATTTCGATTTGTATTGGGGGATGATAGCCCATCGGAAGCGACGTAGGTGGGTTCGGGATCCTGGGTTGAGGGATTTGCGGATTCTCCGGGTTGTTCTGGTTGGTGAGACGGCGTCACCGAATTCCTTGAAGCGCGATCGCGCTCCGTGGGGGCATTCACGGATGGTTCTTCGTTATGAGCTGCAGTGGAATTGTTCTCAGTCGGCCCGGCATAACTGGGATTGCTGTTATTGGTATTGTTGCTGTTGCTGCTACTGCTGCTGCTGTTGTTGTTGTTGTTGTGAGAAGGCAGCGAACCCTGGTCTCTCCCATTTACAGCGGTGAACCGTGACGGGCTATGTTCAGGGTTGGAGTCTTTACTGGAATCATGGTTTCCATTAACCGCTGGGACGGACGCGACAGCGGACATTTTTTCGGTGTAGTAGCAGAGCTTGCCCGACGTAAGGAGATGAGGGGAGAGAGGTGGTATCACGTCAATGAATATTTCGATAGATGCTCGAGATAAGATTGACGGGATGAAAGCGATCCAAGAGGGGCGGATGTTAACTTATCGTCGTCAGATCGTTTCCAAGCAGCTGGGACGTGTGGTGGTGGTTGGCGCTTCGAAGTTTCCGATGTACGCAAAGCCAACACACACAACACTATACTGAAAACGGAACAACAGAACATACAACAATCAACCAGGCTTGAGAAGGAGTGCTCTTGACGCAAAAG